TTTTGGGCAGGTGTCTACATGTGTAGAGACTAGGGGAAAGTTGGAAGCCATATCTAAAGCCAAAATCTAGCTGCCAGCACTTGGCAGCCTTCTTTAAAACACAGTCCTGCTCAGTGCCGTCTAGACAGCCAGTTCCAGTGCTTATCTGAGCAGTATGGCACGTGCAGAGGCAGCACATAGCAGCCTGGAAGTGAGGGATGGGGTCCCCTGATCCTGCTGGCTGCCTTGGTCACCCTGCTGGCTCACTGTAGTCACCATCACCTGGCCATCTCACTCTGCCCAGCTCCCCCAAACGCAACAACTGCCGCTTACCTGCAGTGTGCCCTGTGGGACACTGAGCTGGGGGTAGATGTCTTTTGCCTGACCCGGGCCACCTTCCACAACCTGTTTCGCCAGCTTCCCCCCACACCTAGAGTGCCAGGATACTGACATGTACCTGGCCCTCCCTGCTCTAGCCCACCTGCCCTGCTGTCCGCAGACCTCCTACCCTTTGACTGCGCCCAGCACCACTCATGCCAGGCATAAGTAGAAACAAAAAAACTTTTTTCCTCTCATAACATATCCCCCATCCCTCTCACCTCCCTCCCCAACATACAAAGCTCCCTATCCCTCAACCAACAGAGCCCCCTTCTCCACCAGAGCCCCCACCCCAAACAAACAGAGCCCCTCCACCAACCTCTCTATCCACCAGCAATAAAAAACCCTCTCTCCAGTGTGGAAACTAAATATAAGAGTCTTGGTCTTTTAGTGCCTTTGGGGTGGGGGGCAGAGCCCAGGGGCAGGTACCCTGCACCCTGGCCTCAGCCTGTTCCCCCGCTAGGGATTGTGGTGACTGTGGCAGGCAGCAGGCTCATTGTGGACTGATAGCAGCTGGTACTCCTCCAGGGCAGGCAGCTCCCCTTCCAGCTGTCAGAATCAAGGCCCAGTAGGGCCAGTGTCCTTTCGTGGTGTTGCTCCTGGCACCTCCGGGTCCTCGGCTATATGGCACCAGGGTGAGTGGTGGGGCTGGGCCCAGGCAGATGGTGGTAGATCTGGGGCAGAGGCTGGGCATGGGGATCCTGTGAGTGGGAGGTGCTGGAGGACCTCCTCCCAGGCCCAGGTGAAGGACTGCTGTGGAGCAGCAGGTGGGACCTAGGGGTTGTGTGGGGCCATAGATAGGGGCCAGGCAGTGGGAGAGCATGCATGTGACTGTGAAGCCCAGGAGCATGTCCAGGGTCTGGTGGTCCTCATCTGTATCCTCCACTGCCTTGGTCTGTATGGCCACTTGCTGCCTAAGCAGCTGGATCCGCTCCCACTCTGGGAAGGCCTCCATCGTGGCCCAGTGCTTGCACTGTGCTTGGTCCCATGCACCCTCCTAGGTGGTTTCCCAGGCAATATCCTCCCCCCTGTGCCCATGCCTCCTATTTCTTGGCTACTGCCACCAGCTGCTGGAGCAGGAGGGTCTGACCTCCTGGGTGTACCCCTGGAACACCTGACACATCTGCACAGCTCCAGCGCTGAGTGGCAGTGACCCTGACCTGGCATCTTTGCTGGCTGCTGCGGTGTCTTCCCTGCACCAGGGGCCATGTGCTGCATGGCCTCAGATTGGGGTCTAGCCGTGCGTGGGAACCCAGGTGGCCACGGGCCGAGCCCCCCATTCCTGCACGCTACCCTGGGGCCAGCGGGCCGTTGGGTGCTGGCCACAGGCAGTCTGCTTTCCATGCTTCCTTCCCAGGGAGGGACAGGACAGGCTGATGGTAGCATCTACTGCTGTGGCTTCAGACTTGCTCCTCCCCTACCACTGCAGGCCAACTGCTCTGCTGTGCTGCCACCCAGCCCATGG